GTAATTGTAACAAATTATTCACGGGTAGCGTCGCAAAATCTCCCCGACCTCGGATCGAGAAGTCTCTAGTTCCATTAAAAGTTGGATGAGCCACGTGTGTGGGTAATTATAATAAATTATTCAGCGACCAGGTGATCGTCCAGCAACGAACGGTGTACAGTCGCGCAAAGTTAAGATGAGTTACCTGCCAAATTGCATTCTCGCTTAATTTTCCACTGGATATCCTCACTCGAAGCTATTAGTTTCCGCAGATCACTTAAAACAGGGCGTTTCCCTTTATTCTCACCTACCCACTTTCCACAACGATTTCTTTTTGAGGAGGGTCGTCCTTAAATGTGCTGTAGCCGTAATAGACTTCCAGAATAGCCACGTTATAGTAACACTCCTCCGCTATCCGATTTCTATTTAATTAAATTAAAGATTACAATGGGGTGCGCTTAACGTGTTAAAATAACACGCTTGATATATTGCTTTTCTAAGGTATTTATGTAGTGGTTATTACATTTATGTCAAATCATTACTTTAGTTTTAATAGGGATTTTAAATAGGACTTCATAAATTGGAAACCGTTATTTTGTCTGATTCCGATAACGGAGTTTTCCTTCGCAATCATTTCCACCACTACCGGAGAGCGCCTAAGTAATATCGTCTTCTCGGTTAGCACTTTGCATTTGAGGAAAATTAACGATCGAAAACTTTAAAGATTTCAACGTCGATAATTGAACCCCTTCCGGCCGCAAAATTAAGTTTCTCGTAGCCATATCTCCAGCCTAGCATCCGAGGAAGTCGATATCCTGGAATATAGTCCATATAATCTTAGCCCGCCATTCAGCAGAGCTTACTACTCTTCCTTTAAGCCTGGTATTGCATCCATGTATGCCTCGAATGCATCCAAATAGGCACATATACGTGTCACAAGCAACAGTGGCGTGCTGCGGGCGTCGGCGGTATTAGATATGTGTGCCCGTATGCGTTGTGTCAATGGAAGCGCATAATTCAATGTGGATACCTGGATAACTAATTGAACGATTAATTAAGCCCTCTGCAAATATGCCATCGCGATTAACAATTTCCTGCATCTAATCCTACGGGATCGTGCGCCTTGAGCTGATATATCGGCTTAATTTTAGTCACCTGTGCATAATGAATGTGAGTAAATTACGTTGACGGTAACCCCACGTTGGCGTTGTTGTGGCGTGCCTATAAGAAACAAAAAACGTTTTGATTAAACAGCGTAACATTATATGCACAAAAATAATCCACCAAATAATTTTAAAATGAACAATTTCATTAAGCACTATGAAATAAAAACTTTCATTTAATGTCTGATTGAAGAAATGCAATGATTCACTGCAAATTATTTGGTAACCGTTACCGGTTCATTGTTTAGGTAAATAATAACATAGCGATCATATCATTTACCATTCAAACGACATTGCGATCTAATATTTATACTCCTCTATTATCCTAATGGAAAAAGCAAACAGTATGGAAACGACTATATCGTAATAATACAAAATTACTGAGTAATCTTTCTTGCTGTCGAATTCATGGAACATACAGGTACTTTATATCACAGGAATAGTCGTTAAAACAGGTCAAAAGGTTATATTCTTATATGATGGGAAAGATTTTAAGGTTAATGGAATTTAAATTTACGCATTTTACTATGTTATTATTATTGTTTCGAATCGTGATTGTCAGATCGCAGAACATAGAATTGATGAATCAGATACTTGAAATAAGTGCGCCATATTTATCGACGAGTTGAGTAAATTTTAGCATAGTTCAATTCCTTGATTTTCCGAAGCATTATGCTCATCAGCAAGTTTGAGAAAAAGCTACATTCATGCATGAAATAGTCAAAAGAACCCTGGACGTTAAACAGCAAACCTAAACTAAGACTAAACATCTACACCGTTTCAAAATTACTTTTATAGACTTAAATAAAAACTGTTAACTAGGTTATTTAAGATAAAGCCACGGAGGAACAAATGAGAAAAGCAATTCTCACATATGAATTGCTTTCTTCAAAAACCTAACAAAGCAATTTTTGTTTAGCTTAATCATACGTCCTCTGACACCGCACATAATAGCCGCCAATATTATGCATAGCACATTTGTATAATACCTAGCAAATACATACTAATTAGTTACTTATTTTTGACATTACACAAAATTAAACAAGATAATGTTTTGCAGCTTTTCCTAGTGGTCGAATCTGCTTTACTATGCACCTTAGTACTTTGTTTTGGAATTTTTGGATCAGACTTGCATTTGTCTTCCAGGTACAACCCCACAGTTGGATTCCGTATGTCCATTTTGGTTTTAATACTTGCTTGTATATTATCAACTTGTTTCTTAGTGATAACGTAGATTTTCTACCAATAAGGCAATATACAGGTCCAAATTTGATATCATGTTCCTCACGTTTTTTTTTACGTGAGCTTTTCATTTGAGTTTGGCATCCAGTGTCATACCAAGATATTTTGCTGTGTCGGCGTGAGAGATTGCATTGCCATTTATGTGTACTGGGTTATAGTTTACTTTCTTATAAGTAAAGTTTGTGTATGTCGATTTATTTGTACAAATAGCTGCCAAGATGAAGTTTTTCCGCCGTTTGAAGTGGAGAGAAAATTTGCAACATAACGGATGTTGTAAATGTTTTACACTATAATACCATACTATTATTCGAAAGTTGTAGAAAATGAAAGCTGTAAGATGTATTGGAACTTAGTATTCTTTAATGAAGAGGCGTGAAAGCAAAGACGCACCAACAATCTTACGGAACCACATATATGCAGACTCTGAGATGTGACGCAAAAGATGAAATCTCACTAATTTTGTGAAAAAAATCTCTGAACGAAGATGTTATGATGGATAAGTTAAAATAATTACTCAGAAGAGGTAGTTACCTCCGCCTGGAGAAGGAGTTGGTTGGATTTAGTAGCCTAATAACTGTGACTGCGGCTCACAAACGCAGAATTGAATTTTAATAGGTAATAATACACAATCAAATTTGAAAATGGAACATAATTTTTGTATCTCTAATATTCATAAAATATTAGTAATTATTTATTAATAATTAATCCGTCCGTGAGCTGATTTTAACAATTTATAATGTTAAACTGGATAAACCGCATCGATCTCTGTAAATAAAAATAACAAATTATTGTTAATTATTTTACCGCGACGTTATTAAAATTGTATTAATATTTGTTACAAGCTTTCCAACCTCGAAAATACAGTTTTCGCCCCTAAACGATATTTCCGGCTAAAATTTTCCGAAAATATCAATTTTTCAGAAATAATTCTACAGAACTAAATAAAGCTGAATTAATAAAGAACAAAATAAGTACTTTAATTAGACTAAAGTATAATTAAACAAACTTAGACAAAACTTTATTTAAATAAAGACATATTTTTATGGTGGTGAGTATTATTTTCCGTTGATTCTTATCAATATACGTTATTATTGTATATTATTATGTAACCAACTATTCATCTTATTTTGAATACTTCCATTGTAACTGAAAAGCTGCGTAGAAGCGAAAGAGGATCTTGCCACTCTAAGAAAATGGCGCTCGACACACTATAAGATTTCAAATATATTTTAATGGATACCAAGATACTTTATCCGAAGACTGAACTTATGTTAAAGACATATGTTGATACAACGTTGAGAGATACCATGAATTCTGGTAACATTGCAAAATATATAAACAACCTTTTAAGTCATATAGGACGTAGAGTGAGCTGAATGAGCTGGCAAAACAACATCCAGGATTTTGTCAACATCTGGTCAGACTGGATAGCAAAGGTTAACGTAGGAAGTTTTTCTTTTATTATCGTCAATGTGTTAGGTAGTTTTCCGACTGTCTCAAGTCTCACCATGATGCCATTTTTAATCCCCTGACAATCCGTTCCATTACACCTGAAACAAAGGGAAGACAGACAAAACCCAGAGGTTGACTACTCTCCTTAGCTTCTTCTCCTTATTAAATATATTATATATATATTTTTTTCAAGTACGTCCTTTAGAAGTTTCATTCTTGAAATCTTCCCCGTTGCATAATCTCTATGATTCCATGTCGAAGTTGAGTGATATGTCCTGTTAATCCAACAATGTATTGCCAATTAAGCTCACAAAATGTATTGAATCTTTAACGTGTCAGTCCGTGTGTCCTGTTAAGGGCGACAATACCTTAGAGAGATGTTTCGCAAGTTGATATGTAGGTAAGTTAATTGCACTTACCATTGGATACTGTGGGACGTCTGGATCTATCGATTTTTGGTAAACAATTTATGGTGCTACTGGTGCTAGTACAAACAAGCTTTTTTTGTTCCTGAGATAGAATATCCGTATTCGTGGGACCATTTTTAATTTTCCTCTAGGTTGTTCTCGTATTGGAGGAGTTCTTTCTCTTAAACTACCTAAGCTTTCTTTCACTAGCTATCAAGTTGGACTCTGATAGTTTAGCGGTTTTTAACAGCCTTGTGATATCTTAACGATACTGTTAGAATTATGTGAAGAGTGAGCCAATTTTATCTATCGGTCTATACCCTTTTAACCAGAAAGAAGCTAGTTGTTACGAAGTTCCTGATATTCTGCACCAATGAGATATCCCTTTTTAAGTGTTAGATGTAGTTGTATCAGAGTGACTAGGATTTATTCTTGAAACCTTTTTAATAGACTTATCATATCTTCCATTATATCTACGAAACCTTCTATTTATTATTTTATATTAGTTTCTACACTTACATTCTATTACGTCTATAACGTTTCACATTACATATTCTATAAAATCTAAATACTACTCCTAAAACCTATTCCGATATACAGTTTATTTCCGCGCTAAAAGCATATACTTTCTGTAAACTAAACAAATTTGGTTAGAGATGAGTGTTAAAAACGACATCAAGTACAAAAATTAAATTAAATGTTTTTAAAAATTAAACTTAAAATAGAAGATATTTTAACTTTATTTTTAATTTTACAGGAATAGCTCAACAACCTAAAGGGACTTTTAGCCGGACGAAACGTAAGTATGCTAGGTTCGTTGTTTGTAAATTAATAACTCGCTCTTTCCTCCTACCTTCGCATTTTGTTGTGTACGCATTACGTAGCAGCTCGACACGTTACCCTACGTTCATGATGCTAATTACCGCTTGATGTGTTCCGGCCATTAATAAAATTAAACGCTAAATGGATGTCGCGCCGCTAACATTATTCCATAACTCCCCGTTGCATTTGTCAAGTTTGCCCCATGGAAATCTGAACAAATATCCCGTTTTGAGCCGAATTGTGGGCTCGCATAAAATATTGTCAGAATCCGTTGATGCGCACCGAAAAGGTTTGCGCTATAAGGGAAGTGCCCTCGAGGGTGCTTTTGTGTCGAATGTTTCGAAGGGGTTGGACTAGTACACTTTGAAAGGAGCTAAGAACACCATACGGAAGGTCCGCCTTGGTTGACCTGCCCAAACCTAAAGGGCCTTTTATGGTTTGCCCTTTGTTATTTTTCCCGATGAGAAGTCGATAGAAAGGGTAGTAAATGAAAATGTCACGTTGCTGCTGACTCTTTTAATACCTGTGGAAGAAAAGGTTTTTCACTCACTCGTAATTATCACGCCTTTTTCTTTTTGGCGACTTCAAAAATCATTTTTTACATGTTTCACATCTGAGTTCATGGGAATAATAATAGAATTTAATTATGGTGGCATTTTATTGCATATATAACTTGAAATGTCAGGGTTAAACGCTAACCCAAATTTGAAAAATAATAGGTGACGTGTCGAATTATGTTAAAAGCAAATAGTCACGCATATCTACTGGTATATTATTAGTTGAAATCATCAAGAAATAAAGTATGGACAACAATGTGTTACCTTGACTTTTTTTGTTTGTTGTTTTTTAAGGCTGTTAGATTTTATATTATATTGGTTAATTTATATTAGATTTGATAGGTTTATATTATATTAGTTCATTTATATTGGATTTATTTGTATCGCCTCATTTGTTTAGTCTAGATTTGAAGTGTCTCGAGTCGCAATATTAGAGTCTTTTATCGCATTATTTATTGGGTGGAGTTAAGTGTGGGAATGCGTTGGGGTATTTCGGTGTTTAGGTAAGGGTTTTTAGTTATGACCTAAAATAAAGAAGGAGCCTGCGAGCTCAACTCGTATCAGTTATTCAGTCTTCGATTTAACACACACCGAAACAGTACCCCTTCAATTTACGCGGAGCAAGGCTCCCTATATAACTCTCGCCACAACTAATCGCTATTTATATGTATAGTTTAAGTGTAATTAATAATAAAGTTTATGGAAACGTAAAACCAAGATTTTGTTGTTAACCAGCGCCCACCAGATAAAAAATAAATAATCAAAGGCGAAAATACATTTGCCACCTTTAACTAATGATAAATAATGGGTTTTCTCTTCTTAGAGAGTAATAACAAAACCTAAATCTTTTCAATATCAAAAACTCGTTGGATAAAATTTCCATTATTTAGAGCACGGTGCAGGTGTATATACATAGATCTGGCCGTCAGATCTGGGAATTTTGGAGCCTCACTTGAACGTCAGTGCAAACTTCGTTCCACTCTCAAGATGGTGTGTTTTGCAAATTACTTTATTAAAACTTGGTCTCGGCAGCGCCTCACGGAGACTGCAAACTTAACCCGAGGTGCAGCTGCAGTTTAAACGATGCTCGCGCGGTTTGATTTTGCAACTTTGTCGAGCGTAGAAATTATTGTCAGTTACCCGAGCTCGGGACCGTAGCTAACTCACTCACGAATACTGAACTTGGAAATAGATTACCCGTGTGAAGGAAATTCGGTCTAGATCACGGGCCAACGGTAAAATATGCACTGGTCCGTTAGAAGCGGGAAACGGAATCAAATGAGATATAGATGATGATGCGGATGCAAGTTAGTGAATTCATATAGCGCTACCGCGTTCATTCAAATACAGTTATAATGATGCTGTGTGTTAAAGCAGAACATTGAACAGGGTAAAAATCGCGCTTCTAACTAATTAAATCCGGTGTCCCATATTAAACTTCTCTGTGTCAAAGGACATCCGAGCGGTGATTGAATTGTTAACGCTCCAGACATGCTTTGGTCCGGATGTGGAGGAGAGTGGGACGTTCGAACAACTGGATCAAAGAGTGGTCGTGAAACTAAGTCTGGAGATTTAATCACTTCATATTTAACATATCTAATCGATTCAATGTATCTTCTTATATATTATTTAGAATTATTATCCATTTTAATGTAATGATAATTAATAATTGGTGCCTTAAAATTTTACATTGCAGTATAAGTTAATATCCAACAAGCACCAGGAAATGCAAATGTTGTTGGTATTAATGAAGGAAGTGCAATTCTCGAAAATAGCACGTGAATTGAAAATTTGCATCCTGCTCGGGCCGACTAATTAGCATCATAGACATGGTTTTAATTTGGGACACGACCGGCGAAGGGCATTAACACTTAATAGACCCAATTAATTTAACTCCGTCATAGTTTACTCTCCACGCGAGTAACCAACGTATCCCTTATAGGTCCCATAATCATCTGATGAAAGCTAAAGAAACAATTTTGTAATCATAAAGTTTTTGCTTCTATACCTTTACCGAAGTTTCAAACCATATTTCCTCTGATGTAATGAGGTAATAAATTAGAATTTATAGACGACAGCAGTATTACTTTACTGCTTGAACGCATGAGAAACATCTGCTTCAAGTGACGCTATACAAACGGTAAAATGATGAAGAAAGAGGACGGCGTTTCTTCGACCATTGGTCTGGAAGTAGAACTGTAGCAGGTCTTTCGCCCTTTGAGATGGCTAGCAATCCAATTACTTCCCAGTTTGTCCTAGAGGAGCGCTAGCCGTTCTCAAGGAATTGATTACATCTCAATGCTGACAGAAGACCAAAGACAGGCGCAAAATGTAGACCGTAGAAAACACGGGATCGGTCCGAAGGACAAAATTCAATTAGACGAAAACGGAGAGACGCTGCGTCTGTCAAACGACTCGTCTTGGTGACGATACAAGCATTGGTACTGATTTTATCTCACCAAACCCTTCAGATCATGAATAATAAATTACTAAAAGCTCGGATTCGCATTAAAAAAAAACTTCATAAATCCATGTAGACTGTATTTTTAAAAAACGTGATGTGATTTATGTTAAATTGAAGCTAAAAGATTCTAGTTTATGATTACTTATTCGTATTACTTAGCAAACGATTTGCAAAAACAATTTTTAAACTGAAAATTTAACTTCATTAAGAGTTTCAGAATAATATACCAAACAGCCTCTTGTACTTCCACAAGATATTAAAGGGGTGAAATATAATTAACCTTAATCCCTCGAGATAAGAACTACTCCCGCGGTAATGTAATCATTAAAGAGGGAGGAGGTGGCGATGCTTTGCGGTTGCAAAGCAGATTTAAGTAGAGCTTCATTGATCAATTAATCCAAGCAAAACTGTCAGGGTGTTGTCATCGTGAGTTTCCCTTGTCTCGCGATACCCACGTTGATGTAATTTATTTTTCGAGCCGAATAAACGCGACGAAGCACCACATAAATCAACGGAGAATAAATAATTACGGCATTAATTCCCATTTTCTGTGAGGATAGACGGAAAAGGAAGAAGAAAAAGGCGACGCGGACGTGGAAGGCGTGGGCGCTTCGAAGTTGCAGGGGTTTTGGTGCTGGCTGGTGAAAGATAGAACGCTGTACTCGCTAATTGGGGTAAATAGATCTCGGCGTTGTCGCATTAAAATGCTGTAATTCGTTTTCGACGTCCGAGGCTGAAGGAAACTGGAGAACTCTTCTCGTACCTATAATTTGAGAGATTTATAACTAAGGAAAAGCTAATTTAAAAATGTAGTCTTCCGAAGCGACAAAAAAGAAGAGCAGGTAACTGGGTGAAACAGCTATATTTCTCTATGATTAACTATTTATTTCAATTAATAGAAAAAAATCTCAAATCTCAGGTCTTCCAAATCACATCAACACTGTTAGAGACTGTGATTAGATTAAAATAGTTCTGTAACAATTGTACCTTCAGCCTATCGTTGCAGTAAACCTTTAAACCACTAAAGGTGCCCATCATTAGCTCAGAAGTCTAATTTGAGTAAAGAAAATTGTCTAAAATTAACTACGAAAAGAGGAAATTATAGAAAAAACTTACCTAAAGACGATCGTTGTGCCCCATGCACTAATTGGTTTTGCACATCGAGAAAGTGATAATAAGTATCATTTTTAAAAATTGTTATTTTAAGACGTGTTTTAACAGATTCATAAATAATAGAACCCTTTATTAAAAAAGTTACAATTTTACGATTTAAACCAGAAAACGTATTGTTGAACGTTATTGAATTGTGAATAAACAATTTTTTTCAAATAACAATTTGTATGTGTTTACTTATTCATTTAAAAATACATAAAATAGCAGACACAAATAAAATTATAAATATTTTTTTATTTATGTGTCCCCGGGTGGTGATGTTGTTTTGCCCGATATCGTGTATACTGCATACAGCATACATAAGTCAGTCACAGTTATCCACGTCAATGTTCAATCAATTTAACAAATTATAGATCTTTTGATTAATTATGCTGCGACCGATACTTAGGGCCGGTTGTACAATATGCCGCTAAATCTACCTGATAACTATCCGGCCGATAAATTTATCGGGAGGATAAAGATATTCGCTTCTGTACAAACTGTTTTTGTCGGTAGGATTGCTATCGGCGAAATAAGAGTCGGTTGGTAGTTGTTTTTCCCCATATCTAGTGATTTATGTCATAGGTTGGTAACGCTAACGTCTTTCGTTGAAGTTTTAATTATGATTTTGACAATAACAATTGTTTAAAGAAATGTTTCACGACAGACAACTGACACAACCAATGTATAGTTAACGGTTAACGGTTAATGTTATAGGCTAACCTATGCAGTTTTTATATAAAAACCTTGGTAACCATAAATATCTGCCGGATAACTGTCTTATCGGCACCGTTGAGTACCCGA